ACAATAGGTGTTAATTAGGTGTGAACGATAGCCATGTGATGTGAGTATCAGTCACCTGGAGGCAGGACTCAAAAGCCCGAATTTTGCCTGAAACTCTCAGACTGAAGAAGTCTCTTGGAAGAGAGACGAAACGTTTCATTAAAGAAGAATCCATCCAGAGGACCTATACAATTTTTTTTTCCTTTTGATTTTCTACCTGGATTACTGAGATGCATCAGGACCATCCGTACCTTTATTTTAAACTAAACTTTGACTTAAACTGAGGCAGCACAAGCATGCACAGATCTGCATAGTTCCTGCTACTTCCTGTCTCTTGACCAATAGAAGAGGAGCTTACTCAAGAAGCTCCACCCACCGCATTTGCATAATGAAGCAGAAATGCATAAAGTAAAAACAGGAGACAGAGAAATGTAAAAACAACACATGGAAATACAAAGTTTTGTGGGAAAAATTATAAAACACATTTAAATATAATCGTTTAAGAGACAGATGTATCTACAAGTAAAGGGAAAACAAAATATATATATTTTTAAAACAGAAAAATGTAAATTAGTAAGTATATAGTTTATTGGAACTAAGCTGGAAAAATAAATATGAAAGTCAGTTAAATTATAAAACATTAAATTTAATTGTGTTTATTTATTTATTGGTCCATTTATTTATTTCTAATTATGTCTGATTCAGTTCTCCATAGAAAAATGTCCCAGCCTCAGTTTAACTGTCGATTAGTGAAATGGATCAGGTCAGTGTGGAGATGGGAGGTGCTGAAGACAACAGAATAAAAAGAAATAGGTCCAAAATCAAATATTTAGTTAATTACAGATTAGGAGGATATAACACAACATGAAAAAGCTGTACCACACAAATACAAATCCTTTTGTCACCTTACCAGTTAGAAGATTATTACTTTAGTTTTTAAAATTCCTCAAGTCAACTGTGACCATTTCAGAGTTTTTTTATCTGAAGGTTGGAATTCTTCTAAAACAAAATCACAACAAAAGTGTTTTTAGACATTCCAGACACTGATGGGTTTTTATGACCAATTTGTTTCAGACCTCCTGATATGTTAAACATCCAAGTTCATCTTTTAACTTCACAGGAGTCAGTCTGCAATAAGTCTCCATTTACTGAAGCCCCTCCAGGCTGTGTGTTAATCTATCAAATGTTTGTTGTGAATCAGTGAATGATAAACTGTCGACCTTAAAAGTTTTTTTTTTCCTGACGTCTTTGTTCTTGGAAACAGGAGTGCGGCTGCAACGTGATTGGCTCGGTGACCCAGCAGTGCAACGTGAACACCGGCTGCTGCTTCTGCCGCGATTCCTTCAGAGGCGAGAAGTGTGACGAGTGTCAGATCGGATACAGAGACTTTCCTCAGGTACGATGTCGACGTTAAAAATGTTTTCTTCTTCAAATCTCTTCATATGACCTCAGTTTGTTGAATTCTAAACTTCTGCTGTTTTTTTTCTATTTTAACGCTTACACTAAGCTGGCTTCCTTTTATTTAGAGAGTTTAAACTAAGATCACTTCAAGTTAGAAGAATCTGAATTTACATCAGTAAATCTTTATTTTAAATTATTAATAACTGGACTAATCTGACCCTTTAATTCCACAACTTTTTCTTTAAAGAAGACATATCCTGCTTTTAAATCCTCCTTTTTTCACATTTAAATCCTTCTTTTGGGTCTTTATAAAGTGGAACTGCAACGCTTTGGTCTGAATTCCTCCTTATTGCAACTCCACTGTAAATGTATTGTAAATCCAGACCTTACCAGATAATGTGATGTAATAATTCTAGAGCAGGGCTATTCAACTAAACTGCTCCGGGGGCCACAGTTAGTGCAGGTCAACAGCTGAGGGGCCGAATATCCAGCAATTTAATTTAGTTTAGTTTAATTTAGTTTAGTTTATTCATTCATTTTTATAAAAAAAAACATAAATTCTATATACAATAAAAATACAAATCATAAATGAAAGGCAGCAGAAGAAGAGAAAAAAATCTTAAATCTGCCCCTTTTCTAGAAAAATACATTTAAACAAAATAGTCTTCGAATAAAAAGTCATTATAAAATTAAACCAAGTATTACAAAGATCCGTTACCTTTGAAATAGTTTATTTTGCTGTATTTAATCATGAATACAACATACAGAACCCTATGTAATAAAAGTAATGATAATAAAACAACAAAAACACATTATGCCTCATATTTAACACAAATATTATTTTGACATCTCTGACTTACCAAATTTTTAAAACAATCTTATTTTCACTTTCATAGTTTTATCTTCAACTGCTTGTAGTTTTAACTGTCTTGATTGTTCATTTTCTGTAGATACCAAACATGTCTATGTTTAACTAAAATAACTTATTGTAGTAGAAAATCGGGGTTTGGGTTTAAGAGATGAATGAACCAATTGGTGGGCCAAAGTTTGGTCACTAGGTTGGATGTGGCCCGCGGGCCACCAGTTGAATATCCCTGTTCTAGAGACTCCAAATACACAACAAAATGCATTTAACAGCTAAGAAAGTGGATTTAGCAGGATATGTCCCCTTTAAGTGAACTTCAATCAGTTTGAATCATGTCTGGTTCTAAAATAGGAACTCCTTTGAATCCATTGTTGTCAGTAAAATCTTGACATGTTTGGTTCATGTTTCTGCCAGTGCATCCAGTGTGAGTGTGACGCTGCAGGATCAGACAGCCAGACCTGCGACCTGGAGAGAAAAATGTGTGCCTGCGCAGATCACACGGGCAAATGTAGCTGCAAGGTAGAGTATAAAAGCTCCTCTGCTTTTTCAAAGGGATGTTTTAATATGAATCGTTCTCCATTTCATCTTCAAGTTGCTCAGTATTAATGGAACTGTACTGGTCTCAGACACAAAGAGGAAGATTAGTATTTGTGTGGAAATAAAGCCAGTTTGATCATCGTAATCTGACAGATCATCAGCAGTGTGGCTCAGATCTTTTTGGTAATGCTGGGAAAATCTGTTTATTACCTCCGCCAAGGGCGAGGTAATGTTTTTGGTCGCATATTTCTCTCTGTCTGTCTGTCGTTCTGTCTGTGGACAACATTACTCAAAAACTTGTGGACGATTGTCATGACATTTTTACCACATGTAGATACTGGGCCAAGGAACACACCTTTAAATTTTGGTGATGTTCTGGATCACGATGCGGATACAGGAATTTTTTTTCCTTTAACACTCTGAGATCTGCAAAGCTGTGATGCTTTCACAGGGCTTCTGTAAAAAACAGTGAGCTGGATTGGACAGCACGGATTTCAAGCTTTATAAAAGTAATGTTAAAACCACATTTAATGATGATGATTTTTGCCATAATATGAGCATTTAGATAACGTTTTGTGACCAGGTAGTGCGTGACTGCACCATGAAACCTATTTTTCCCATTTACTCAAACACACCACATTTCCGAAACAACCAGTCAAACAGTTTGTCTCTGTTAGGCTTGTAAACAGAGAGCTGCCGGGCCTCAAAGTTTGGAGATGGGGGGAGCCAGGAAGCACTTTATAAAGAGAGTCAAACCATTACAAACTCATACAAGGGGATAAAACAGACGTTTTACATGGTGAAATGTGACTGATGAAAACTTAGGAGCTTAATCCCACACCAGTTTGACCATGAATAAAGTCGGGTGACGAGTCTGACTTTTTTTTTTCACATTGGACTCYACCRAGAAGAAATCCCGTGCATACTGCCTGCTTAAATGTTCACTACGTCAGAACTTATTCAGCAAATGTGTTTCCATCTCTGCTTTTGTGCATTAACTCTTACAGGACGGGGAAATTGGTCTTGGCGGAGGTTTGCACTCTCCGAGTGCTTCTAGTTCATCAATCCATCTATTTTATTTACCTTCTTTTCCTTTTTGAGGTTCTAGGGGAGCTCATCTCTAGCATCCATTGTGCTGCAGTTTATAATAGAACCAGTAAGCTCACATTGGTTCAAAAGTTTTATATGTTTGTTTTAAGGTACGAGAACTGTGTAGCTATTAAATTAAAGTTTTTATTTAACCTGTTTTACTATAAAGAGAGATTTAACAGCTCCCTGTTTTTGACTCGAAATGGAATAAAAATGCTCCCATTATCTACCTCGGCTAGTGTCAATTCAGCCTCAGAAAAACCAGACCAGCGGCTAACAATTTACAATTTCAATGTGTGTGGGCCGAAAAATTAGCCGTAGCTCTTTAGCATAAGGTGCTAATGAAAATATTAGCTCACCGTACTTCTGTCGACAGACAGGTTCTTTTTCAGCTTCAGTCCCAAAGACTACCCACAGCGGTCAAGGTATGACAGATCACAAAACCCGGACACGATCAACCGACAAAAAACAGGTCAGCTTCTCCAGCCTCCATGTTCCGGTGGATCTCGAGAGAAACAATCGACCGCTGCAGGCTGTCCTCCAGTCCTTGAAGCCGCCATTTCGACAACGCCAATTTCTGTCGTCGCACGAAAGCAGAAACACGTTGGAATAATGCCAGAAAAGTCTGCGTGTATGGTCGTCATAAATGATTTAATTCTGAGCAACAGGCAAACAGGACTCAATCAGGAAGCCCTGTCGGCTTGTCGCTGACACGTCAGCGGACACAGCCAATAATATACACCATGATAACATCATATGACGTGCTTATAACCAATCACAGATCGCCTAATATACTGTCCAGCCTATCACAGGGCTCCCAGCTCAAAGAGTGTCTTATCAAACAAGAGAGGTCAGTCCGTTGCGGAGTCCTGTTGTCTGGACCAACACAGATTAACATTGAACAAGTGACACAGATAGATAATTAGTCCATAACAGTGACCAATATATATAACGTCATATAAATATAAAGAATTTTATCCTCTCTTTAAGAAGGTAATAAAAAAAATCCTACAACTAAACATGGATATGAAAGAATAACTTTTACTGACACTTCTCATCTCAACTGTCACCTTGTCATCAGATACCATTTGGAAAAAATAAAGGCTTCACATTAATTCTTACACAAACACACATCATTTTCATGGCCTTTGAGGTTTTAGATCATAGTTGTCTTCCCCCGACAGGTTGACTGCTCGTCACTCAGCCGTTTGTCACCCGTCGCTTTGTTTATCTGTCATTTCATCTGTTTGAATGCTGCTTATTACACTGTGTCTACATTAAACAATGTAATGCTTTTTTTTCTGCCACTGGAAATAAAGTCCAGGCGTATTTTTTAGATATATTTTCATATTTCAAGTTTATAAGTGCTTCTAAGGAAACACTGCCGTATCCATTCTGAATAGTTTGATTTTCAGTTCCTTCGTAAAAATAAATTATAATTCTGATCAAAAGGACAATGAATGTGAATATTTATAGAAAAGTTTTGCAAAGCAAAACGAGAGTTCAGTCATGATCTACGTTCACACTGCAGGTCTTAATGCTCAACTCTGATTTTTTTTTAAAAATCCGATCTTTTGGCGTGAACATTCACATTACATTTTAAATGTGACCTGCATCAGACTCCAGTGTGAATGTTACACAGCGCTGATGTGACACACGTGCAGTAAAAAACGTGACGTCTTATTCAACTGCTGTTTGTTTACAGAGTTATCATGGATGCTACTTTTTGCACGTCGAATCTGAAGTTGTTTAATCTCAGAGCTGATTAAATAATTATCTGACCCTTGTTTAGTTCAGTGTTTATTTCTTATATGGGTGAGTGAATCGATCCAATGATGATACTAAATCGAGTCGTGTGGTTTAAATCTTGTAGCTCCATGCGTCTTCAGATACAGAACAGAAGTCCAGTTGCTTCATTTTTGTTCTTTTAATTAGGGCTGTGAAATTAATCGAGTTAACTCTGATTAATTTTAGTGCTTCATGGGCATGATTTAAAAATTTTAATCGTGAATAAAATTTACAATTACTTTACTTTGGCTGAATATGTAGGTTTGTATATTGCCATGCACTCAGTTCCAGGTCATGTTTGTAAATGAGAAGTGGTTCTCAAACAGTTTACCTGGATAAATAAAGGTTAAATAAATAAAATAAATTTTAAAAAATCCATGTGTAACACATTATGTACAGTTTTTTTTTCTTTTTGTCTTCTTATGGCTTATTTTATTTTATTTATTTATGTTTTGCTGACAACTGTGACCTTAGTATCTATCTTTCATTCCTCGTGTCATTTGGACTGAAAATCCTTGAATTTTTGATTTTAGCCTCATTATTCTGCACAAAATTTAACTGACTCAAATATGTTTGAGGCATTTTTTAGGTCCTGATTTTTGTTGTTTTTGTGCAATCGAGGTGATATTTTCATGATTTATTATTGTTGTATTTCTTAAGCACCAATTTTTTTCAAAATAAAGACATTAATTAATAACTCAAGTAATTTATTTTACCAATATACAATAAAGTTTTATATTAAGTTTAAGATTAATCGTGATTAATCGTGATTAATTTACAGCTACCTTGAAATTAATAGAATAAAAAATTTAATCATTTGACAGCCCTACTTTTAATTTTCCATGTCCTGGATGACTGAGAATCCACAGAAACATACGATCGTCACGTCCACCGTCGGTCTCAGACTGCATCAATACTAAAGTTACTTGTTCGATACTTTTCTTTCAGCACGTCGCTTTGTTCCAAAAATAAAACACTTCACTGGAGCATCCAGTCAGAGGCAGATTCAGATATAAACATTGATCATATCAGATCATTGTTTAATCGGCTCTGATTGCAGCAATGTTAGAATTGACGTGCTAACACGTAGCATCCATGTTTAGCTACTACTGTAAACAATGAGATGAATGTGAGGTCACATCTTCTGAGCATCAGGGCCGTATAGAGTTCACACTGGAGTCGGACAGAGGTCACATTTCAAATATAAGATACAGTGGGGAAAATAAGTATTTAGTCAGTCACCAATTGTGCAAGTTCTCCCACTTAAAAAGATGAGAGAGGCCTGTAATTGACATCATAGGTAGACCTCAACTATGAGAGACAAAATGTGAAAAAATTTTTGAGAAAATCATTTTGTCTGACTTTTAAAGAATTTTTTTGCAAATAATGG